AAATTTCTTTGGCAAATAATGGATTTAATAATTGGAAACACCTTTATGAAAGACTTGATGAACATGAAAATAGTGCTCAACATATTTTATGTGTGCGATCTTGGAATGAGCTAAGAGTAAGATTGGGTAAGAATGAAATAATTGATAAGGACTTACAACAAATATATATATAAAAGAAAAAGAACGTTGGAGACAAGTTTTAATAAGAATAATTGCTGCCGTGAAATATTTATCCAAATATAATTTAGCTTTTCGAGGATCTAACGAGAAGCTTAATCAAGATAACAACAGTAATTTTTTAGGAGGAATTCAAATGATGACAGAATTTGACAGTGTAATGCAAGATCATGTTAAACGGATAGAAAATCATGAAACCCATAATCATTATTTAGGGCACAATATCCAAAATGAACTAATTTCTATTTTAGCTCACAATGTTAGAAATTCTATAATTAAAATTATTAAAGAAGCAAAATATTTTTCTGTGATTCTTGATTGTACCCCCGATGTAAGTCATCAAGAACAAATGACTCTAGTTATTTGATGTGTGAACATATCTAGTAACAAAATAAAAGTTGAAGAATACTTTTTAGAATTTTTGAAGGTAGATGATACGTCTGGTTTAGGACTATTTAATGAATTATTATATGCAATTAAATCAATCGGTCTTAATATTGATGACATAAGAGGGCAAGGTTATGATAATGGTTCTAACATGAAAGGGAAACACTAAGGGGTTCAAAAACGATTACTTGAAATTAATCCAAGAGCGTTGTATATGCCATGTGCTTGCCATAGTCTTAATCTTACAGTTAGTGATATGGCCCATTCATGTGAAAAAGCTATTTCTTTTTTTGGAGTTGTGCAACGCATATTTGTACTATTTTCGAGTTCTACTAAAAGATGGAACATACTACTTGAAAATGTTCACAATTTAACTGTAAAATGTTTATCTAATACACGTTGGGAAAGTAGAATTAAAAGTGTTAAAGCTTTTAGGTTTCAAGCTCCTCAAATAAGGCAAGCTTTAATTGAATTAGGTAAATCATGCAATGATGCTAAATCAAAAAGTGAAGCAGAAAGTTTAGTTGGTGCCATAGAAAGTTATGAATTTTTACTTGGTATGGTAATTTGGTATGATATTTTATTTGCTATTAATATGGTAAGTAAAAAATTGCAAACTAAATCTATGTGTATTGATGGCACCATTAATCAATTAAAAAGTATAATGTCATTCTTTGAGAAATATAGAAATGAAGGATTTTCCCGTAGTTTAGATAATGCCAAATCCATAGCAATTGATATGGATGTTGAACCTACATTTCGAATAAGACGTCAAGTTACTAGAAAAAGGCAATTTGATGAAATTGATAATGCACAAGAATTACAGTCAGCCGAAGAATCGTTTAGAATTGAATATTTTATGGTTGTTGTTGATATGGCAATTGTTTCATTAAAGAGTAGATTCGAACAATTAACTATTTTTGAAAATATTTTTGGATTTTTATATAATTCAAAAAAGTTAAAGTCATTGGATGACATTGAACTTGAAAAAAGTTGTATTAATTTCACAAAACAATTTTCTCATAATAACTTGTGTGATGTAGATTCAAATTATTTGTTTTCCGAACTTCAAGTGTTACAAATGACTTTGCCAAACGTTTTTATGCTCGCTGTTGAAATTCTAGAGTTCGTTAAAAATGAAGATTGTTATCCACATGTTTTCATTGCATATCGAATATTATTAACTATACCTGTTACTGTAGCATCAGCAGAAAGAAGTTTCTCAAAATTAAAATTATTAAAAAGTTATTTGAGATCATCTATGTCACAAGAAAGATTGAATGGTTTGGCTATGTTATGTATCGAAAAAGATATGTTGGATAAAATCGACCTTGATACTATTTATAATGACTTTGCTTCCAAAAATGCTCGTAAATGTAAATTTTTTTAGTTTTTCTTTGCTATGTTTATGTAATAAGGTGCAAATCATGTTATAGCCTTTTTTATTTTGTTGCTTTGTATTTATAGTGGGTGTTTGAGAGAGCTTTTAAAAAAAGCTTATTAGCTTTTTAAAAAGCTAATAAGCTAAAAAAGTGTTTGTCTATTTAAAAAGCGCTTTTTAAAACAACTTTTTGGATGAGAAAAACTAAAGCTTTCAAAAAGCTGGAAAATCCTAGCTTTTTAGATTTTTAACCATTTTACTCCTGGAAAAGCAGCTTTTCGCATCCAAACACTTTTTAAAACCAGCTTTTCCTAAAAGCTATAAGCTAATAAGCACTTTTCTTAAAAATCACTTTTGACGTAAAAAAGCTAACCCAAACATACCCATAGTATTAGATTGTTTGGCTTTTGGGGCCTGTCCCGAAGCTTTTTCCTTTCCATAGGTGGGGAGGCCCCAGCCTGCAATTGTATTAACTTTTTTTAATTAATAAAAATTTTCAGAGGTAACACCCTCCTTTACCCAAAATAAAAATTATATTTATATATCTATCACTAAGGGTTCCATTTTTTTTTTCTATCCTAGGCCCCAAATCGTCTTGAGGCGGCTCTGGACATCCCTAAAACTACACAATAATTACTAGTCATATATATATATATATATATATATATATATATATATATATATATATATATATATATATATATATATATATATATATATATATAATATATCATAATGTGGTTTTATTGAAATCGGATAAATAAAACTAGTAATTTAAAAGATTGCCGTAAACCTAACCTTGGTGTTAAAATATATCTGAAATATATTTTCTAAAGTAAATTTGTTGTAATTGGCTACAATGTTTTGAAGTACTTACAACCTAAAACTTGAGATAGATGGAAATATATATGTGTGTTTTTTATATAATCTTTTTAAAAATATCTATTTATTAAGATAAAAAACTATATATCAAAATGATCCTGCTTTATTTTTTAATATCTAATTATCCTAATTATCTAACTGTAGTATACTTTTTTTAATAAATATAAATTGCTCGAAGCCCAATGTTACAATGTATAAATACAACATTTTAACATTTAGTTTGACTTATATTCAAACAGTCAGGGTGATGTAGCATTAAACATACATATAATGCCTTCAGACTCATTTAGATTAGATTTCATCTTTTCGAAAAAGATTCAACATTCATCAACAGCACACGATTCTTTTTTTTCTTTTTTGGACTAAAATCCATAATATGTTAAACGATCATCTTATTTATTGTATCTCTATTATTAAAAATAAAAACCAAACAATGTGTCAATATGGTTAATTACTGATTTGCCCTTGATTCACATGTACTAGAAGCACACTCCTATAAGAATAGTTATTTATTCAGGCTACCCTCTTATCTGGCTTAGGAAACTTCTGAGTTATATCTAAATCCTCTATAGCTTCGTTTTTTCTTTGCAAAGATTCCTCAAATCCTGCTTCTTTGTTTTGTGAATAACTATTTTTCAACCCCTTTTTTTAATGTATTTGCATATGTAACCTTCATGTTTTAAAGTAACATTTTACTTCAATTAATTTCCCCAACTTCTTTTTTCTTCTAAGTAGTCCATTTCTTGCTTGTATTGTATAAAAACACGAACAGACCTACATAACACACAATATATGCTCATGCATATTCCGAAGAATAATCTGTATTTTATGAAATATTATGAGTTAAGAATAGTAGAATACCCACATGTCCAAACTATCATTTTTATTATGTTATGTATATATATATATATATATATATATATATATATATATATATATATATATATATATATATATATATATATATATATATATATTTTCTGGTTCTTTTCTCTACAAAATTAGGGTTTTAATACATCATCAAGTTAAAAATTGTATATTTTCCATTGGAGGGAAAGAGAATATTAGCTATATTATGAAGAACATAAAGATGGTATAGTGATTATGTTAAAAATTAATAAATACTTAATGTTTTAATTTTTAAATGTTTTTTTTTTAATTTCTTGGTCTGAAATGTATCACTACTTTTATACACATATGTAGGGTGTTCCTTATGTGGTTCTGTGCAATTTACAGTCAAAACCGCAAACCGCACTACAAAATTTAAAATGTTTTATCTTTTTAATTTTTTAATAATATTTAACTCATGCAACAAATTTCTCTTATACAAAGTTTTTATATACCATGCTTTTTAAACATATGGTTGCTATGCCTTTTTTACTTGTAACAAAATTATGATGAACAAGATCCATATGAATATGAATATTAATGAATTGCATGCAATAATGACGTGTAAATCATGCAACAAAACTTCTAACTTACATATTCATATTCATACATAATAAATTCGATAGATACGGGTCATACGAATTTATATATATATATATATATATATATATATATATATATATATATATATATATATATATATATATATACACACATACATACAGTGTTGTGCGGTTTGAACTATCATTTTGTATTTAAAATCGCAAACCAAACTGCATATTACAGTTTAATAAAATTATGAGCCACAAACCGCACTAAAAAAATCTAAACCGCGTAATGTGATGAAGTTTAGTATGGTGCAAGCGGTTTGTATAGTTTATGTTGTTTGATGCATACCCTTATATTTAAGTATATTATTAGTTTTTCAATACACTAAGTAAAATTTTAATATACTTAATTATACAATTCTGAAATCCAATACGGATTATTTTCAAGAAGAATGTAGCATTGCTTAAATGGGTTTCATGTTATTCTCAAGTTTATGGATTTAAATGACAAATAAGTAATAGTTGAAGGTGTTTACATTTAAAAAGTTTCACTCATTAGAACGGAAGGAGAAAATAGTCATTTCCACATTTGAATAGAAAGACATCTTCTGTCATCCATTTCACTTGTCTTCTCCTCACTCAAAACACTATAAATTCACAATACGACCTTCTTCACCTTCACTTATTTCAAGGTTCGAGTCTAACTTAAAAACGAACATAAAAGTTTCAAGCACCCGATGAAGAGAAAAGACCACGATACCCATTTGGACACGTTGAGCAAAAAGAAGTATAGAGGAGTGAGGATGAGAAGCTGGGGTTCATGGGTTTCTGAAATCCGAGCACCTAATCAGAAAACAAGAATATGGTTAGGCTCACATTCAACACCGGAGGCTGCAGCCAGAGCCTACGACGCTGCTCTTTTGTGTCTCAAAGGACCATCGGCTAATCTCAACTTCCCTCCCCATAACTACCACCATCTCCACCATTCAACCACCGCCATGTCACCCAAATCAATCCAAAAAGTGGCAGCAGTAGCGGCGGCGACCGCTGAGCCCACCACCACGAGTTCATCATTGCCGTCGTTACCCTCCTCCCCATCTTCATCGTCTTTGCATTTACCAACGACTCCCGTTGGTAATGAAATCATGTTGGAAAGTGATTTTTTTGAGACGACTGTGTATGAACCATGGTCTTGGTGCAACTTGGATGCACCGATATATAATGACGTAATGTTCGATGAGTCAATGTTGGATCCTATGTGTTCGTTGTTGATCGAAGATGTTTATGAAGATGTTGGTGATATTCCTCTTTGGAGCTTCTGCTGAATTTTTGGTGCTGCTGCTTCATGTGGAAACAAATTATTAAATATTATTAATTCTTTATTCTTTGGGTGATCTTCCTATTAATTTCTTGAAGATCACTGTTTAATTTAAATTAATTTTGACAAATTCTGCTGCTTTTAATAATCAAAGAAAATTTATGTATCTTGTTCTCTCAAAAATTTCTCTGTATCTTTATCATAACTTTTGACTTTTGTCGATGACCTGTCACAAAAAAAAAAGTTGACATTTATTGTAATACTATTATTTCTTCTAAAATTTGGTGACATTCATGTTGATGTAGTCACACTAATGTTGGCCCTTAGGCCGTGAGGTTTGTTTGTCATGCGAGGCTTTAATGGCCACGTGGCTTGTAGCCATGGTCATGCACACCATCCGAAGTGTTATATTCGTGGTCTCTTGTGGTATCTATGATAAAACACCCGACTTTTTCCCCTTACGTCTGATAAGTTAAAGTCTAATCACTTCCCCGATGGTGTATTTTATGTCGATTGTTTAAGGAGAATAATTGATTCAAAGTTTACTAGCTAACAATGTCATTTCTTTGGTGTGGATGGGTTAAACATAAGGGTAAAATAGAAAAATGTAATTGGGCTTATATGGAGTTGTAATCTCTTCTTGTGTTTGTAACTTTCTTGGCTTGTTTGTTTTTTCTTCATGTCCATGCATCTTGCTAGGTAGTGGTAATAAAATTTTGGTGGTTCAAACAAAAAAAAATTCTGTGATGATAGGCAACGGAAGAATCACATTGAAGGAGGCGATTTGCAAGAAAAACAGCTAGAAATTTAAATTAACTATTAAACCATTCTATTTTTCCTATAAATATTAATTATTTAACTACAACTTTTTCACATCATTTATTTCTTCCTCTAGTATTCACATGACAATACATTCATAAATAATTTCTTACTCTCTCCTATGAAACAATTTCCACAACAACCAAATCTCCGAACCCAACAACCTTGAGAGGAAAAATAAGAAATAACTTATTGGAATCTATTCAACAACCATGACTATATATTCATGCTTGGATTTCTGTGTCTGTAGACCTTTAATGAAGAAATACTTATTGGAATCTATTCAAAACCATTTCCACAACGAAATTCAAAAATATGTATCGACATCTCAACGAGATTTCATCAAAATGACGGGATATGAGGTTAAAAATAATTGAATTCAACGACATTTGCAACGACCTCAAAATAAAAAATTCAAATAGAAGTAACGACTCAGGTGTAACACTCCATTTTTACTATAGCTGTAGATTGTAATATTAAGTAATAATTATAAAATATGAAATAGAAATATATTACTTTTGAGCCGAAATAATCATCATAAATATGTAGAAAACGTCAATACTAGTTTTTCCATATATTTATAGAACACATAAATCCGACTTCGTATGAAGAAATTATGCTTATTCGAAGTTTTACGATTTAACTGACATGACTCAACGTATCAAAAAAAAAGTGAATTTTAGATAAGTTGTTTATTAGCCTAAGAAATTTAAACGAAAGTCATAGTATTTGTAAACCTAAGAACGTGCATATAAAGAACTTGCAAATATGAATTTGTGAGAGGAAGTTATAATTTTTTGAAGTATCAGCGTAGCAATGCAGACACAAAATTCGAAATTCAAATCGCTTGATTGTTAGCTAAAATAATCTAAACGAGAGTTGACGATCTCGTAAATAGGAGTCGGTCGATATAAAGGCAATCAAGAATGGAATTCGTATAAAGCAGTTATGAAATTTGCACGGTTATTAGCATTATTTAAGATTGGACGAGAATCAACCGATGAAGTCTAAATGATAGTTGTATTAATCGTTGATAGCTACACATGGATTTAAAGAATTTAAAAATAGAGCCCGTATGAGAGAGGTATGATTTTTAGAAGAATCGGTGATTTTACCTGGCTAGGCGAGTTGTAACGTCCTGTTCTAAAATATTCATTAAGGAATTTCAGAAGCCAAGGCTAGGGGCGTTCTGGTCGTTTATGGGCTTTGAGTTTTATTCGAGAAGGTTTCGGGCTGGGGTGTGTTGCTAGAAGCGTAGGGCTTCTCGCCACCTTTTCATGGATATAAAGTTCATCGGAAACAGACTTAGGATGAAGGGGTTATAACATTTTGAAGTTGTTGTTATTTATGGCCCCTCAATGGAAAAGTTGGCAAAGAAGGGCCATGCATGGAAAGTAGGAGGCGCGTGGGTACGCCCAACGTATGAAAGGTGGTGGACGCGGGAGCTTTTTGGCGTACGCCTAGCGTACGCTCAGTGTCTAGGAACCCTAATTCCAGGGCATGCCACTATATAAGGAATGTTATACCCTCAAGTTTCAGCCTCCATTCCACCCTAGAGAGCTGCTACGAAACCCTAACCCTCCTTTGAGTATTTTTGGAGCTTTGGAGGCTTTTGGAGAGTATTCAATTGTTGTAAAGCCATTTTCTCAACAAGTGAAGATCAAGGAAGGTGGTGAACTGAAGGAGGAGATATAGATCTGGGATATTTGCCTAATTTTGGACCTTTTTAAGGTATAAAGTTTTGAACCTGATGATTAATTTCTTAGATCTCTTTTAGTGCAAGTTTATGGACCCTTTTGGTCCCAAGAATGGATCTTTGGGACTCAAGCACGTTTCTAAGACCAGGGTTGCCTCCCTTAGAGTCATATGAGTCCCATAAGCAGTAAAGTTCCAACCTTTAGGACTTATTTGTGCTCATGCTTGAGATCTAGCCCTTGGAATGAAAGTATGTTGTCACATTTTGAGTTTGGACTTATTTGGTGGATTGCAAGTCACCAAGTTAGTGACTTTATGAATTAAGACATGGAAGAGGACTTGGATTTGAGTTTGTAGCCTTTAAATCGGAGTATTAAGCACTTAAACATGGAAGAGGACTTTATGAATTAAGACCCGGGGGTTAGCCCTAGGCACTGTATGCTAGTAGGTGATTCTGGATTAAGGTCCGATGTTGGGCGGGCGCCCGAGGAATGTTTGCATGATAATTTATACTTGTTGTTTGTATGATATTTGTATGTACCTGGTATGGAGGTGGGTGTGGGCGAGGTCCCGTACCCCACCACTAGCAGAATGTGGACGGGGTTCCATATCTCACTAGTAGTAGGACAGGGGCAAGGCCCAAGACAGGTGAGGCCTTAGGACAGTAATGCAGCAGGGTATGTTCAGTATATGTGTTATGTGCTATGGTTATATGTTTACGTGCATTTAGCGGGTGGGGCCCAAAGACAGGCGGGGCCTAAAGTAAAACAGATCTGTATACCGAGCGGGGCTCGAAGCCAGGCGGGGCCTGAAATAGCGAGCGTGGCCCAGTGCTTGCAGTATGTGATTATGCATGGTATGTGGTAGGTTGGGGAACTCACTAAGCTTCGTGCTTATGGTTTTCAGTTTTGGTTTTAGGTATTTCCGGTAGCGGAGGGAAGAGCTCGGGGTGATCGCATGACACACACCATTGTTTATTCAGCCTGGGATGTTTACTCTGATAAAATAAAATAATGTTTTGGTCATGATACTCTGACGTGATATGTTTTGTATGAATGGTTGACAATTTGTGGTTTAAAAATGAAATTTTTGGTATTGATTTTTGGGTCGTTACAAGTTAGTATCAGAGCATTGGTTTGAGGGATTCGGATACACCCTCGGGTGTGTCTAGAATCAAACTGAGGAATTCGTATAGACATTTTCAAAAAGGAAAAATCAATTTTGTGAAAAGGTTTTGAGCAAAGAAAAACAACTTTAGAAAAGTATAAAAAGAAGAACTTTGAAAAGAGGAAAGGGTGTGGTGCATGTAATCAATCGAGCTCAAGTAAGTACCCCAAATTACCCATACAAGTGTATGTTATGATATGAGTATGAGAACTGCATGCTAGACTAGGACTGAGGATCTAGGAAGGATGCCTTATGTGCCTATTATATGTGTATGAGCTTTATGAATTGCATGCTAGTACAAATTCTTGTTATGCGGGTAGAATTGCTTGATTATGTCCTGGTTAGATTTCCCTTTTGTCTGAATGCTACTTGCTTTGTGCTTTGTGGGACTCTGACTGATGGGAGTTAGCCATTAGGTGAATACGTCAAGTCACATATGATCAGGGTTGAATAATCTCAAAGTGCTGGATTTGGCCATATTGCGCAGCTCTTGTCTGAGTCTAACCGTGTAGGGATGAGTCCTTTACTTAAAGGATTATCTGAGCCTCGTCACATGTGATGGTATTCAGGTAATGGCTAATTGGAATTATAAAGATACCTTCAATAGTTGAGGACTGGCTGCGGGTTGGAGGTTACCCTAGGGCAAGCCTAGGATGAGATTAGTGTTGGGAGCAGTGTGAGTAGAAGGCACTTAGTGGAGTTGAGGCAATTCTTGAGGAAAGTACGGATAGATGTGGAAGGTAGTATAGACCCATACTACTGAAAGCAGAGGATCCGTACTCGATTCAAGAAGGGCCAAGATGAGGCCAGGAAACTTATAGTGAGTCCCTCGTCAGTAAGGAATATTCTGATGGTTGTTATGATATGTTTAAGCATGGTGGCGTTGCGTGAGAGACCAGTGGGCGGATCAGGTCCCAAAGAGGGATTAGGCTCAGGATCAGGAGTCGAGCAGCTCGAGGAGCGGATGAGGGAGTTTATATTAGCTGAGATTACGCGCGATATTCTAGACCAGACTCATGTGACCTTTGATTCGGTCAAGGAGGGTATTTTAGAGCTTCTGGATGAGAAACTGGGGGCTTTTCGCGCTGAGATGATGGCTCTAGTGGGGGCCCGTACCTTGACATTCCGAGAGTTCAGGGCTTGTGGAGCTCCGGGTTACCATGGGGCCAGGGACCCTATTGCTAGCAGCAGGCGGTTGGCTGATGTCGCCAACGCTTTCCGTACGAGCCGGTGTCCCGAGGGGGACAAGGTACGACTTGCCTCGTGTATTCTGAAGGACAAAGCACAAGATTGGTGAGAGGAGGTTGGTCATGCTATTGGAGATGA